ACAGATACATTTTAAGCTGTGCTATCAGTAGATGTGATGGAGAGGGTTCTCAGGGTTCAAATGAAGTTATGACTTTCAGGCATTTCTTCTTCTGGCTCTCTCTGCTATGTGTAATGTCCTGCTTAAAGTGGAACTTTACCCATAACGGCTTGATGAAAATAATGGTTTTTGGCAAGGAACATAAATTCCACATTAATAATTATGCTACCAAAATTAGTGTGTGCTGTAATTTGCCTCCAGCATTGTTCCTGTTTCTCCTTGCTGGAGGCTGCCATTTTGCTTAATTCCAGAAGTTCTGAACAGCAGTAAATCTTTAGGCTGACAGCGGATCGGCCTCTACATTTTTGGTGCAGTGCCAAAAAATAGAGCACAACTGAGTATGTGCAGAGCAAGGTGAGACAGTGTATTACTGGATTTTAAATGGTATACGCACTTATTTTTAATGTTTTGCAGCTATACTTGCAAACAGGGCTAGCCTGAAATGATTTAGTAGGACTTAATTTTCTGACTAAAGTTCCATTTTAACAAGTCAAAATGTGGGCTATTCACTGTATAGTAGTAAACCTATCTAAAACGAGCCTTGCACTCGCCACCTGCCACATGCTAGTGGTAAATATGAAATATTTATATTAAATATTCAATATGTTTAAGACTAAAAAGAAATAAAAATGCAAATGCATGAAGAAAATACACGCAAAACTACATGCAGAAACCTTGCACAATAAACTGCTGGACAGTAGGGATGCAGAAATGTAAAACGGTCTATAATCCAGTGATATCAACAACTTTTATCTTTGGGAAAATGATTGTATCGTGTTGCTGACTTCACAGTCTTGAAATAAACAGACACTTTGACTTCTTAATAAGTAATTAGATCTGCTTGTTTGCATGGTACCCCCTCCTAACATTTGGCACGTTTTTTTTGGGGTGAGGGGGAGAGCGGGTACCTGGTTTTGACAGTTACTCCCCAGTGTTGCCAGCCCCCTGAGGTGAAATTTACTGTCAGGATGCCCAAAATTTACAAACAGCACCAAACCAAACAATTACTGACAGAGCCACATTTTTTACTGGCACTTAAATAAATTACATAAAATGGCAGTTTTACGTGCAAAACAGGGCAAATATCAGTATTTAAGCTACAAACATGTAGTCAGGTTTATATAACCTAGTCAACACAGAGTTCCCCATTACATCAGAGTCTGCAGGGTTTCCCCTTACACTGAAAGAGGAACTTTGATGTAAAGGGGAACGCTGGGAACTCTGATGTGGGGGGAGGACTCTGGTGACCACAGACCAGCTTCCTCAAAATGAATGCACTAAGGTAATGGGGGGGTTACTGATCTAAAGGGGAACCTTGATATAATTGCCCCCCACCTTTACTTTACTCACTCCCCCCTTACATCAGTGACTCCCCCCTCAGACTGGCTGTCACTGACCTCCTCTCAGGTGCACCATGCAGGTTCAGTCAGAAGGTCCTCTCCGGGCTCCAGCTTGGCAGCTCTGGTTTCATCCTACATTCTTCTCTCCACAGTCCACACACGTCTGGCTCATCCTGTGACCTGACTGCTCCTGTTCTTGACTCCTCTACAGGCTTGCCCTCATTGACTGCAGACATACAAGAGATGGTCAAAGACTGCAGAGTGCAGACATGATGCAAAAGATGGTCAGAGACTGCGGACATGATATAAGAAATGGTCAGAGATTGCAGATATGATGTAGGAGATGGTTAGAGGTTGCGGAGGACATGATACCGCAGATGGTTAGAGGCTGCGGAGGATATGATACCGAAGATGGTTAGAGGCTGCGGAGGATATGATACCGAAGATGGTTAGAGGCTGCGGAGGATATGATGTAGGAGATGGTTAGAGGTTGCGGAGGACATGATACCGGAGATGGTTAGAGGCTGCGGAGGATATGATGTAGGAGATGGTTAGAGGTTGCGGAGGACATGATACCGGAGATGGTTAGAGGCTGCGGAGGATATGATACCTCAGATGGTTAGAGACTGCGGACATAAAATCTCACCAGTGCCTGCTGCCTCCTTTCAGTCCAATGTAACTGTCTGTTGGCCAGTCTGTGCCTCCTCAAGTCCATCCATAGTGTACTTCTCCAGCAGTACAGAAGAAGCCACGTCCAGAAGTGCATGGATGCGGGTGGGGGTCTGCCGACCACCAGTCTCCGGGACTTCAGAAGGCCTGCTGCCATTCATAAATGGCGCCAAGCGGAGGCAGCTCCATGATGTTAATGTGCCTTTGCCTGCTCGCCCGAGAACTGCCGAAAATGGCCAAGTTTGGCCAAGCCTGGCTGGCTTCGGAATTGTGCATGCGCAGTTCCAAAGTTGGTCCATAGCCATATTTTTTATGGGCTGCTGCTGTCCATAATGGATATTTACAGACAGTCAGTAAATGGATTGAAATTTATGGACTGTTTGCAAATATACGAACAGTTGGCAACCCTGCCACTCTCACTTCCGGTCAGCTTGCCTCGGCGAGCCAAGCAGAAGTTTACCCCAAACCCCCGCTCTTCCCCCCTCCTCCCTGCAGCCTTCTAGGACACAGCACAGGTCACAGAAGATGATGGGACCATTCACAAATTGTATATATTGTACAGTTCTGCCCCCTATGGGGCAAAGTACATGTAACACATAGTCTCATGTTGCTAGGTGCATTCTAACATTAGTTATGAGGTCTGACCTGCCCCTCTCTCCTTCCTCCATGGCCAATCTGACAACAGCTAAAAAGGAGAGCAGTATTATGTCATCCTAAGCTGGCCAGTGAAAATGTCCAAAGACCAGCACCCCGGGCAGAAGACACTGGCGCCGGCGAGGGACCTGACCCAAGAGAGAGAGAAGCATGACTGCTCACCTTCCATATACTTAAAATAAGAACAGATACTGAAAATTAGACCCAGCATATAGAACGAGGGAAGCGGCATCCATGCACATAAAATTAGAACAGATGCAGTATATAGAACAAGAGTAGTGCTGCTGAGTAGTATCCATATACGTAAAATAAGAAGGGATATTTGGCATTTCACCCAGCATACACATCAAGAGAAATGATTCAGTGTCTATACACATAAAACAATAACCGATACTTCTCTAAAATAAAAAAATAAATATATATCTGCAAATATATATATATGTGTGTCGCGCTCCAAAGTATACATATAAACTTATATATTAGTGATCATATGAATATTCACGTGAGAAAATGAAAAGTGCTTCAAACCAGTGCACCTTGTGATGTTATTACAAAAATAATATTAATCCAAAACTCATAAATAGTCCTCTTTATGCTCTTATAACTTTTCAGTGACAAAATATGGTGATTCGTGCCACACTCCCCGTGCTCTATAGATAGGTGTGCGCTCACATCCTTAATTAGCCAAAAAAGGCTAAAAACACTTTTTGTCCTTATCAGGACAGGGCAGGGATCTTCACATTAAATACGTGTTTCCATCCATGTTGTGGATTGCCTTATTTCTGCCACCAGAGGTCTCCCTTATTCCTCCTTCCACATATTAGCCTCAATGGATAGGTAGAAATGATATGGATGGTATATCTTCCTCTCAATGAACCATGTAAAAGAGAGCCACAATAGTGCCTTATCCTTTGTGAGGTTCAATCTTTTATTAGTAGAGTAAAGTCACCCACTCACATTTTGCAGTGTCCACTAGATCAGTGTTCAGCTCACAGGATCTGGGGCATGTACCAGCTGAACACTGATCTAGTGGACACTGCAAAATGTGAGTGGTGACTTTACTCTACTAATAAAAGATTGAACCTCACAAAGGATAAGGCACTATTGTGGCTCTCTTTTACATGGTTCATTGAGAGGAAGATATACCATCCATATCATTTCTACCTATCCATTGAGGCTAATATGTGGAAGGAGGAATAAGGGAGACCTCTGGTGGCAGAAATAAGGCAATCCACAACATGGATGGAAACACGTATTTAATGTGAAGATCCCTGCCCTGTCCTGATAAGGACAAAAAGTGTTTTTAGCCTTTTTTGGCTAATTAAGGAGGTGAGCGCACACCTATCTATAGAGCACGGGGAGTGTGGCACGAATCACCATATTTTGTCACTGAAAAGTTATAAGAGCATAAAGAGGACTATTTATGAGTTTTGGATTAATATTATTTTTGTAATAACATCACAAGGTGCACTGGTTTGAAGCACTTTTAATTTTCTCACGTGAATATTCATATGATCACTAATATATAAGTTTATATGTATACTTTGGAGCGCGACACATATATATATATATATATATATATATATATATATATTTGCAGATATATATTTATTTTTTATTTTAGCGTATGATTTGCACAGATAAATGAGTATTGTGTAAAGTGTTGATGCACCAAAATTTGATATATATTTTTGTTTGTTAAATTATTTATTGCACTAGGGGAGTATCACATTTTGGCTCACGAGTATTATTAATTATAATTAACCGATACTTCTCTTTACATACACACACACTAACAGCTTGGCAAGTCTAGTCTCTGTATAGCCTGGGCCTGGAAACTGAGGGGTTCCCCAAAGATATAGGGACTAATATCAGGTGGGTGACTCTGTTGCTGAAGACAAATTACCAGTGACAGGATAGCTAAAAAGGCTGCCTGACTTTCTATTGAATCATTTCCTCTGTAGCCAGATGTAAGGAGTTACTGGCCAAAGTGCTGCTGAAGCCTGATGTCTGGGGATGTCAACAGTGTCCCGATGCCTCATGTACAGAGGGAATGATTGTATAGGGACAAACAGACAGCCTCGTAGCAGTCCTGCGCAAGTTTTAAAAAAATTGGTGGCTGTAGAAACGCTGCTGACAGTCACCTGGCTAACATCAGTCTTACACTGGTAAGGTGTCTACACTTCAACAGTGCCATTATCTTGGTCTTTTTATGAATCAGGCTAGATTAAATTTTACCTCTAACCTTAAAACCGATTCTAAATCTAGTCCTAACCCCTTCCATTTTTCTTTCTGCAGCTTGCAGTGATATAGACCGATGGCCCCCTCCTGTACCAGGGAAAGACTTTGCATCTGCCAATCATGGGACTCGTCATAAAGGTATGACACATTAGTGTACAAAATGATACGAACGCTAAACTTGACCATTCTTATACCATATGGAAGGATAGCAGAAAGAGGAACTGCGAAAATGGCACCTACTTTGTTCCCATATGTTTCTGGATCACCCACTGTGCTTAATGGCCCCTTCCCGTGAGTGAATAGATTTACACTTTGAACTTGTACGGTGAGTCTGTTGGCTTACAGGCAAATTGCGATTTGCCCATTCTCTTGCTTGCCTTTCCAAGGGTCTTCACAATAGGTAATTTAGAGCCACCCAATTCTTGATGAACTGAAAATAGTTTACCCATTTTTAGGCTCATTTCACAAACCAATGAGCTGTGTCTCTGTCACTGTTCTGTCCTGTTTTCTGCAGATAAACAACCTTTTAATCAGCTGCCATAGCCTCTGCTATTCTTCACAGATGAATGGAGTTCTCATTCAGACACATCAGGGGCTGACACAGACACAGATAACAGCAGCTAGAAAATGCTCAAGAATGCTTTGTAAATGCTGATGTCTGTACATGCTTTAACCCCTGACGTGCCTGGTGACAGCTTAATTCAATAGAAATAAAGGCTATCATGTAGTAGCGTATAAACCAGTGGATGAGGTATGCTGGTTCCTATGTTTCCTTAACCTCCTTAGCGGTAATCCCGAGTGTAGCTCGGGGTAAAATTTCTATACCAAAAGCGGTAACCCCGAGCTACACTCGGGCTTACCATGTGGCGCTGCTCTGGGGGTCCCTGCAGCACTTACCTTGTCCTTCGCTCCCGCGATCTGTCCCCTGCAGCGTCCCCGGCCATCTCCTCCGGCCGATGCCGGCATCCGGCTTCCGTGTTCTGGTCCCTGTGACGGGGGGGGGAAATTTGAATTTTTTAAAAAATGTAATTTTTGCTGTCATTGCTATTTCAATGCATTTCACATATATTTTGTCCCTACTGTTTGTCCTGTGCCCTTCCTGCATTTTGAATGTTCTTTCTGCCTGGAAACTTAGAAAAGTCCATGGCGTCCAAAAAGCGTCCCTTTACGTCAAAAGCGCTTTTAGAACAGCGATAGTAAATCAGAACCACTTGCAGAATTGAGTGATAATGATTCGTGGGGAAATTCGTTATCAGACACTGAAAACGATTTTGCGACTTTGCTCAGCGATGTGCGAATTTGCCTCTGTATTTCAAATTTCAGTGTTTTTGGTTTGATTATATTATTGAATTAAATTTACTATTATATTATTTTTTTGATTATTTATTAAATTATAATTTATGATTTCGTGTTTCAAATTTTATCATATCCGGAATGTTTAATAGACTCTTGTTCGGACAGATTTCAGTGAGTTATTCCTAAAAATTACAGCCTACAATAAAAAACTACATATTTCCATGCAAAAAAATGTTACCGCTTTCAGCACAAAAAATCAGAAAGAATCATACCGCCAAGGAGGTTAAAGGCCTCACTGTTAACTCTATTTCACATGTCCCTTGCACTTGGCCTGTTGATGTCAGATCACACGACCCACATTTAGAACACAAGGAAAAGAGTAATTGTGCAGAATTGTAGCTCACTTTCACACCACTTCCATCTAGCAGATAAGCTCAACACATTCTCCATTGTAGTGAGCTCACAGCGGGACAGTAAAGTGATGGTGACAGTGCCTTGCAAGGGAGAGAGCTGAGGCTGTCAATCTGTTGGCGCTCCCTCCCCTGTCACTTTTGTTCCCTTGGTGTCTGGAAAATTTGTCAGAAGTGATTCATGCTGATAGCAGAGGAATGGGCAGAATTTATATGTATAGTGCTCTGGATAGAAACAACTACAGAGTATAGAAGGATATGCTTTGTTCATATTTCATGACTGAGGTTTACAACCACTTTTAAAGCAGAATTTCAGGCTACAAGTAATTAATCTTAAAAATGCTCCCACTACCCTCTAACACCTATACTAACTACCCTGTCAAAGAAAGAGGCATATACTAATTTGAAGCTGATCCGGTCCCGTCATGTGACTGGCTTTCCTGTTTCAGCTAGCAGTGGCTTTAGGGGAGAGGAGAGACCACTGAAAACAGATGTTTCATTGTAAGCCTATGGTTGATGTCACCTCTCAGGGATTGCAGCCATTGTCAGAGTGCTCTCTCCTCTGCCCTGTACCCAGAACTGGCTGACACACGGGACATGACTGCATCGGAGCTGCCTGGAGAAAAGGTAAGTATTTACATCTTTCTTCCACAGGGTAGTTGGTTTAGGTGTAAGAAGAGGGTTGAGAGCAGTTTTAAAGTGGTTGTAAAGGCTCAAGATTTTTTACTTTCATACAGTCTATGCATGAAGTTAAAAACCTGTGTCCAGCAGTGCCCCCCAGCCCCCTAAATACCTACCTAAGCCTCATCACGATCCAGCGATGTGACCAACAGCCTCGGCTGTCCTGGGTTTCTGCCTCCTCATTGGCTGAGACAGCAAGCGGGAGCCATTGGCTCCCACTGCTGTCAATCACAGCTAGTCAACCAATGAGGAGAGAGGGGGCCAAGCCATTCACACATGAGGTGCTTGCTATGGGGGCATCCGACAGAAGCGAGTGGCCAGGAGAACCTGCAGGGGACCCGAGAAGAGGAGGATCCAAGCTGCTCTGTGCAAAACCGCTACACACAGCAGGTAAGTATAGCATGTTTGTTATTTAAAAAAACCTTTAGAATCGCTTTAAAATTAATTAGATCAATTTACAAATTCTATTTTAAAGCTCAATGTTGAGCTTATTAACTTATTAATCTCTCTTTTAGGTGCGAATACCAACAAGACATGACAAGCCAGGGACAACACAAATGGTGGAGATGACTCAACAGGTAACAGTGATTGTATAGGACATCAAACTGTCCCCTTGATTTCTTACCTAGATTTAAAGTGAACCTGTCATCAAGGAAAGCATTTAAATTTAAAGTAGAATTCCAGGCAGAACCTAACTAATCCTAAAAATGCTCCCTCCCTCACCTAACACCCTATTCTGACTAACCTGTGTAAGAAAGATCTGTATTCTTACCGATTTTCAGGCTGCTTTGGTCCAGTCGCCTGATCTCCGCTGTGTCAGACAGCGTTAGCTGCAGGGGAGAAGGAGGGAGAGAACACTCTACATTGGCAGGCAATGCCTGGAAGCAGTGATATTACCCATAGGATTAAATGGCTCATCCTTTGTCAGTGCTCCCTACTCTCTCTTGCAGCTGCTGCTGGCTGACACAGGGGAGCCAGATCATGTGATTGGACTGGGGTGGGCTGTAAATAGTTAAGTATACGAAGAATATGCATCTTTCTTAAAAAAAGGTTAGTCAGCACAGATGTTAGGAAGGGGGGAGGAAGAACGTTTACCAGTAGTTATAGTCTATCTGGAATTCTAATTTAACTGCGCATATTAAAGCTTTGAAAGATAAAGGGGGGCGTTAGTTGCTCACCAAATGTCTCTTCTGATTGCCAACAGTACCAAAAAAAACTTTTTTTTTTCGTATATCCTTCTCCCCTCTAATATTCCCCACTTTGTCCAACACCTCTATTATCATATGATTGGGCTACCAAGGGCAGAAAACGTTAGACACCAGAAAATAATGTAAATGCAGGCTCCTAAAGCAATTAGTGACTTACATATTCATACCCACCCCCACCCTGTTCTCTGTGATCAAAGATTGCAGCACTGTGAATGTGAGTTTACAATTGTGTATTAAAGTGTTACTAAACCCACAACAGTAAAATCAGTCTGTATATGCAGTAAAGCATGCTTGTTATACTCACTGTGGAACTAAAGGGGTTAATCCTCTGTATTGTGTAAAAACACGGTTTGATCCCGTCTAACCGGATTTTCCCCTTCTTCCAGTGTCCCCCTCTTATCTCCTGATAAGACATTGTGTGGAGACACTCAGCACATGCTCAGTTTGGTGTGTATTGCTAGAGAGGTTTTTTTTTTTTTTCTTGGGAGGTTGCATGTGATCAGCACAGGGCCAATCAGCACTGTCCAGACAGAGGTCAGGGGTTCTGCATCCTCCTAAAGGAAAAATAAAAACTCCTCCAACAAGCTTTAACATGTGCTCTGCTGGACACTGATAGAAGTCACAAGACGGCTGGTGAGAAAAGGTATTTAGCAGTTTACTAAACATATTGCATTTCCATGTAATATGTACTGTGGGTGCAAAAAAAAAAAGGCCTGTGAGTAAAGAACCCACAAGAAAGAAGGTCCACTAGAGAACAAATTTGCAGATTGAAAACAATAATGTTTACTGACGAATTATATACCACATATCAAAAATACAAATATCCCTCCACCCTGCACAGTGAAACAAAAATGACAACGTTGCCATATAATAAAAACACCTACCCGTTCATACAGGCAAACTCTCCATTCACGCAGGACACACAGATATGGGATAGCAAAAATTGCTGGCCTAGAGCCCAATATGAGGCTAATCGGGCTGAAAGCAATCTGAGGTATGCGCTGACTACAACATGTAGGGAATGATGGAAGTATAGAGGTGATCACGTAAAACTTATGGCCACAATGGTGCCAAATGTCTGAATCTATAACCACAGAGGCAGTCCATACATCCCCAAAAGGCTATAGTGCAATCAATGATGACCTGTCATGTCCTGAAGGGGAAAATCCCCATGCAAAATAAGGTAGTAGTGAATATCACATGATACCCTTAAGGTAGCTAATGTCAGACAGTGGGCAGCGGGACCATGGAGATGATGAAGTGACAACAGTCAAAAATCCAGTGACCAAGATATGGATAGGTATGAGCATTAGGCAATAGCCATGCCCTGCAAACAAGCAGGATGAGTACGGATATCAGGTGGGTATAGCTCGACAGAGCATTCAACATCAGAGGGAATTCCCCCAATATGGTAGTGACCTGGTCCAGATATACACGGCTCACTCTTCCATGTGAACGTCACAAAGTTCAATCAATGTCCTTCTGCTGTGTGATGCAGATAGCGTAGCGTGCCATGTAGTGATCCATGAGGGTATGGGTCTGTGAAGATTGCACTAGCGTGGCGCGGCTAGTTCGCAGAGCCATGAGGAGGAGCCTAAGATTCCATATCTGTGTGTCCTGCGTGAGTGGAGAGTTTGCCTGTATGCCCGGGTGGGTGTTTTTATTATATGGCAACGTTGTCATTTTTGTTTTACTGTGCAGGGTGGAGGGGTATTTGTATTTTTGATATGTGGTATATAATTCGTCAGTAAATATTGTTTTCAAACCGCAGATTTGTTCTCTAGTGGACCTTCTTTCTTGTGGGTTCTTTACTCACAGGCCTTTTTTTTGTAATTATTGTATCAGTCCTGAGGACACCACCCTTTATTTTTGAGTCAGTAAAACATTACATAAATCCAATCCTTTTTTTGCAGTGGATCCCAATTTTGTTTTCATTTTATTATTTACTGTGTACTCTGGGTGTCCAGATATAGTGAATGCAGGGTCCTGGGTTTAGTAACACTTCAAGTATGATTGAAACAGTTTTGGCAAGGTAAATGACAAGGATATGCATGTTCAGCTACTCTAAAGGCTCTTGAATCGTTTATTGATGACAGGTGTACTTATATTACCCAGTCCCAAGGGCTTCCTAAGTATTTTAAAGTCTTAACTTTTTTGCCTTAGCTGTTCTTTACCTGCTTGGAGGTTAGAAAGTTCTTTAATTCTTGATTGTTTCCCCTGAGATTAACAGTGTGGCAGTTGTGGACTTCAAAGTCACAAACATGAGCTATATAGTCTAAAGAATTCTATGCTTTATCTTTATACCTTAAAGCAGAACTTCACCCAAAAGGGGAAGCTCCGCTTGTTAACGTCCCCTCCCCCCGCCCTCTTTTTTTTTTTTTTTTTTTTTTTCGGGGTGGGGCGAGCAGGTGCCTGGTTTTGACAGGTACCTGCTCCCACTTCTGCCCAGATCACCTAGGCGCTCCAAGCGAAAATTCAACCCCCTTTGCCTGCAGCCTTCTGGGACACATCACAGGTCTCAGAAGACTGAAGGACCATTTACAAAATGCAGAGCGGTGGGAAGCCAACTCTGAAGGCTTCACAGTCCTTTTCCTTTAGTTGTTATGCCGGCGCCTGGACCTGAAGCCCATTGAAGAATCAGCTCAGGTGTGAGGACAGCGCTGGACAGGTAATGTCTTTATAACAAAAGTCAACAGCCACAGTATTTGTAGCTGCTGCCTTTTAATTTTTTTGGGGGAGAGACTGGATCTCCTCTCAATAGCTGCTGTAGCTAAATATCAGTATATTGACAGGGCAGACTATACTCACTTATTGAACAGTAGTGCTCTATATTATGCTTGTAGAACTACAATTTAGTGTCTTTGTGTCTCGAACTACAATTTAGTGTCTTTGTGTCTCGAACTACAATTTAGTGTCTTTGTGTCTCGAACTACAATTTAGTGTCTTTGTGTCTCGAACTACAATTTAGTGTCTTTGTGTCTCGAACTACAATTTAGTGTCTTTGTGTCTCGAACTACAATTTAGTGTCTCCGTATTTCGAACTACAATTTAGTGTCTCCGTGTCTAGAACTACAATTTAGTGTCTCCGTGTCTAGAACTACAATTTAGTGTCTCTGTGTCTAGAACTACAATTTAGTGTCTCTGTATCTAAAACAATAATATGTGCTTTGTCTATACATTGAAACTACACTGGGAAAGACTACTGAGAGCAGCCCAGTGCATATGATGTGATTTGGCCCTTAGCTGTTTTGATGAGTTTAATAAGTAGTAGGAATGCATGAGCTTTTTCACAAAATATATAACTCCTGGTCCTATTGTACTTTATGCCAATGACTGTTTTTTTTTTCTCCCTTTTTTAGACAGATGCACAAATTTCTGTGGCATTACCGACAATCCATGAAGTTGATCTGTTCAGGTATAACTATAACAGGATATAATCTAATTACATTCTGGCATACTGCCTAGGTTGCAGATGTTAAAGTAGAAAGAAAGCCTAACTCTAACTTTCTTAAAAATTGTCCCTCCCTATCCTGTATAAAAAAGATTTGTGTACTTACCTATTTCTAATCTGGTTCATTCTGGTTATGAGATCCTGCTGTTCCAGCCCCCCGTGTCAGTGAGTGGCTGCTGCAGGGGAGAGGAAGGAGTGTTGATAATGACTGGGCAATGGGTGTCCATGGGTGAAGGCAAGACTCTTTGAATTTACATCCGTTATCAAGCACTCCTTTACACTGGGGAGACAGCTATTGTATCATGTGACCATTACCAGCTTAAAATAATTATACAGAAATTTATTTATACAGGTTATGCAGGATAGGTAGGAGAAGGGGTGGAGGGAACATTTTTAAATATAGTCCTGGGCTCTACTACCACTTTAAACTTTTGCAATAAGCATTAAACATGCATTTTACAATGTAAGAAGCTGTACTGCTTCAGAATACTTGGAGCTGTCGATGTGGCTGTGCTCGTGTGTATGTGTGCACTGTTAAAACACTATCACAGACGTAAAAAAAAAAATTGCAGGTAAAAACGCAGAAAGGTCAGAAAGGTTGTTTATTGCTGTGTGTTCCTTTCTGTAAATTTATTTTTTTCTCTTGCAATGTGCCTTTGAATTTGTTAGAAAATTTGAGTACTCCAGGAAGTCAGTTCCCTAGCACATCCCCCTCACTCCTTGCATGTCATAGCCCACTCATCTACTGTGCTAGCCTTTCCTACCCTCACCTACCTATGTAACTTTTTATGTAGACAAAAGGGGAAAAGTGAAGGAGAATACTATATCATGTTCTTGAAGTGACAAGATCTGAGTCTGCTGGGGCTTCTGACATCACATCCTAAATGTCACCACGTGGCAACAGTAGTAGGGCTTTTGGTTGACTACACAAAGGTGTTGTTTAGAAGTAAAAATCATACTTAAAATACGTTAAATATACTTGTAACCTTATGAGAACATTATTGGACAGGCAGGTTCTCTTTAATGAAGCTGTTTTTCCCATTGGCTTTGTCATATTAACGGAGTTGGACTAAGCTCTCCAATTGTTTTCCACTTGAGAAGATAGCTAAAACTTTGTGTGGGTACTGCCATTTCTTGCAGCCAGTTCAGAACCTTGTTATTAATGACAGGTGTGCTTTACAGGGAGCCTGTGTATTGAAAGCTTTATAAAACAATAATGCATGTCTCTGCAGAGCTCCTCCACGGGCCCTGAACTGCTTGATCAAACAGACATTTTATAGTTGATGTGATGGGACCCCTATACCATAAGCATTGCTTAGTGCAACCCATTTTCAGGCCCAGGCAATGTGTCATTGTGTCTGCTCTGTCCTTTCAAAAGTCTGTTTAAATTCTGCAGGACTGCACTTTAAGGCTTTATTCACACCTATGCTTTTTGCGTTTCTTCAGTTTTTTTAATGCTTTCTGCATTGTGCTTTGCATTTTTACACATGTGTTTTTGTGGCGTTTCTACTGTGTTTTGCGTTTTTGTTTTTTTTACAGATTTTTTTTTTGTTGTTAAAGTGGAACTTTTTAGTTGCTGGGCTGAACAAAACCATGAAACACGTGAAAAACACAACTATATGTGTTTTAGCGCTTCTCCATTGAACTCTATTGCAAAAGAAAAAAAAAAAAAATAAAGGACTGCAGCTCAATAAAGCATAGATGTGAACACCCATGGAAAACCATGTTAAATGGACTGTGGTGCTTTTCTGCATAAACATCAAAAAACGCATTGGTGTGAGAACCAGAGATAAAATGTAAAGATACTTTATCAGTCATTAGTTTAGTGTTTGGAGCTTACCCAGGCTTATTGATGGCACCCCCTCCCTTATGTGACATTGTTCAGGCCTGGCAATTTGCAGGTACAATTAAATGTGATTTTCTCTTTTCACATGAACCTTTTATATCATTTTAAAACAGACTGCTCTTTTTCTTTAGGTGCTTTTTTCCCCAGTCTTCTTCCACATCCAGCTGTTATGGGAATTGGTGTTTACTGGGAGAACCTCTGGTGGTAATGGCTCCCTCTCCAGCACAGTCTTCTGAAACTGTGCTAGCCCTTGTAGGGTAAGTCTTTACAAAGGCTCCTTATAATCTTATGACATCTGTGGATTTAAGGAGATACAGTGCCTTGAAAAAGTTTTCATACCACTCAAAATTTTCCAAATTTTTTCAAGTTACAACCAAAAACGTAAATGTATTTTATTGGGATTTTATGTGATAGACCAAAACAAAGTGGCACATAATTGTGAAGTGGAAGGGAAAATGATAAATGGTTTTCAAAATATTTTACAAATAAATATCTGAAGTGTTTGTATTCAACCCCCTTTACTCTGATACCCCTAATTAAAATCTAGTGGAACCAATTACCTTCAGAAGTCATTTAATTAGTAAATAGTCCACCTGTGTGTAATTTAATCTTAGTATAAATACAGCTGTTCTGTGAAGCCCTCAAAGGTTTGTTAGAGAGCATTAGTGCACAAACAGCATCATGAAGGCCGAGGAACACATCAGACAGATCAGGGATAAAGTTGTGGAGATGATTAAAGCCAAGCTTAGGTTATAAAAAGAAAATATCCTAAACTTTGAACATCTCATGGAGCACTGTTCAATCCATCATCCGAAAATGGAAAGAGTATGGCACAACTGCAAGCCTATCAAGACATGGCTGTCCACCTAAACTGACAGGTCGGGTAAGGAGAGCATTAATTGGAGAAGCAGCCAAGAGGCTCATGGTAACTCTGGAGGAGCTGTAGAGATCCATAGCTCAGGCAGAGCATCTATCCACAGGACAACTATTAGTTGTGCACTCCACAAATCTGGCCTTTTTGGAAGAGTAGCAAGAAGAAAGCCATAAGAATTCCCATTTGCAGGTTGTGAGAAGCCATGTGGGGGACACAGCAAAGTTGTTCTGGTCACATGAGACCAAATTTGAACTTTTTGGCCTAAAAGCAAAACGTTATGTGTGGCAGAAAACTAACACTGCACATCACCTTGAACACACCATCAGCAGGGACAGGGAAGCTGGTCAGAGTTGATGGGAAGATGGATGGAACCAAATGCAGGGAAAACGTAGAAAAAAACTTGTTAGAGCCTGTAAAAGACTTGTGACTGGGGCGGAGGTTCACCTTCCAGCAGGAAAAGGACCTTAAACATATAACCTGAGCTACAATGGAATGGTTTATTTCAAAGCATATACATATGTTAGAATGGCCCAGTCAAAGTCCAGACCTAAATCCACTGAGAATCTGTGGCAAGACTTGAAAATTGCTGTTCACATCCAGTCTGACAGAGCTTGAGATATTTTGCAAAGAAGAATGAGCAAAAATGTCACTCTCTAGATGTGCAAAGCTGGTAGAGACATATACAAAAAGATTTGCAGCTGTAATTTCAGCAAAAGGTGGTTCTACAAAGTATTAACTCGGGGGCTGAATACAAATGCATGCCACCTTTTTCAGATATGTATTTGTAAAACATTTTGAAAGCCAATTATGATTTTCCTTCCACTTCACATTTATGTTTTACTGTGTTGGTCTATCACATAAAATCCCAATAAAAATACATTTACGTTACACTGTTCAACAGGTAAAAAGTTTTGGGCATAAAATTAGCTAATCTTACATAATTTTGGGGTGCTGAAAACGAAAATGACCCTAAAAAATGTTGATTGGCTCTAGTTTCCATGATATATTCACCCATCTAATGACGTAAGCCATTCAAAATTATGATGCAACTTCAGCTGCATATTGCGCAATTGATACTGGTGACCAATAGAAAATTGCATGTATACTGAGATGATGCAATATTAGCCTTTAATTGCATCACTTCACTGCATAAAAGCTGCAGTATCTGTAGCTGATTGTAGTTCGACAGCGTCTTTACATTTCGTTTTATGCTTATATAGGCTACTCAGTAATGCCTCAAACTTGTGTGAATAAAGCAGATAATTTCTGCTATATCTGCGGTGAAATAACTTTTATCTCACAAAAAAGGAGGATAACAGGAATGATTAAGAAAGCCTACAACTTGTATTTTGGCTGCAAGATAGGAGACCAGGACAAGAGCTGGGCACCACATATATGCTGCAATTCTTGTGGGACGGCACTGGAGCAATGGTTGAATGAAAAAAAGGCATCTATGCCTTTCGCTGTGCCAATGATTTGGAGAGAGCCAACAGATCATGTTAGTAATTGTTACTTTTGTATGGTGCCTCCAACAAAAGGGCTAAATAAGAAGAAAAAGTTATCTGTGCACTATCCAAATATTCCATCGGCAATATGTCCAGTTCCTCATGGAGAGGGGCTACCAATTCCTAAAGCACCAGAATCCTTCGTGGTTGAGTCAAGTGAGGAAGAACCTGAAGCGTGTAGTCATCAACCGTCAACCTCACATGACCCAGACTTTCTTCCATCCACACCCACTGAACCACACCTCATTACACAAGTGGAATTGAGCGATCTTATCAGAGACCTGGATCTTCCGAAGAACAAGGCAGAGCTTTTGGGGTCAAGACTACAACAGTGGAATCTCCTAGCAAGTGATGTTCGTACGTCTTTCTACCGTCATCGTCAGAAAGATCTGATCCCATTCTTCGTCCAGGAAGGTGATATTGCTGTATGTAACAATGTTCATGGTTTAATCTCAGCCATCGGCGTATGCTATGATCCCGATGAGTGGAGGCTGTTCATTGATGCTTCAAAGGCGAGTCTTAAAGCTGTTTTGCTCCATAATGGCAATCAGCTGCCGTCAGTTCCAGTTGCTTACGCAGTTTCAATGAAAGAAACGTATGAAAACTTGAAAGAGCTTTTAAGGTGCATCAACTATGATGAACATCAATGGTTGATTTGTGGTGACCTGAAGGTGATTGCTATCCTACTTGGACTTCAAGGTGGATATACTAAGTACTGCTGCTTCCTCTGTGAGTGGGACAGTCGTGCGAGAGAAATGCACTATGCCAAAAGAGACTGGCCATTACGCCAGTCATTGCAGCCTGGAGAGAAAAAAATGTTAACTATCCAGCACTTGTAGACAGCAATAAGATCTTATTACCTCCATTACACATCAAGTTGGGATTAATGAAAAACTTTGTTAAGGCAATGGACAAGAATAAAGCAGGTTTCAAGTACCTGATTAGCAAATTTCCAGCACTTAGTGCTGCAAAAATAAATGAAGGAGTCTTTGTTGGGCCACAGATTCGTGAACTTATTCATGATGATGAGTTTCTTTCTCTGTTGCGTGGAAAGGAAAAGGCTGCCTGGACAGCATTTGTATCAGTGACATCAAATTTTCTTGGAAACAATAAAACACCAGACTACAAGAAAGTGGTAGAAAAACTCATCCAGACTTACAGAAATCTGGGTTGCAACATGTCTCTAAAAATTCATTTTCTACATTCGCATCTGGATTTTTTCCACCAAACTGTGGAGCAGTGAGTGATGAACACGGAGAGCGCTTCCATCAAGACATTGCAGCTATGGAAAGAAGATATCAAGGTAAATGCAGCCCATCAATGCTTGCTGACTATTGCTGGACAGTTGTAAGAGATAGCCCTTTCCTCGAATACAAGAGAAAAGCCAAGAGAAGCAAAACCGACACAAACTGAAGACAAAACTAGTGAGAATCCTAAGTATTAAAATGATTCAACTTAGCTTATGGCTAAAATTTTTCTTGGTAATCCTATGCAATATATTATGCCATTTAGGCTTTGTTATGTAGTCAATATCACTTGCTTTATATTTGTGGAAAGACATCTATCTATATAATTATTGTGCATTATGTAGTCATTACGCCTATAGTAGAAAACTTTCCGTTTACAGAAAAACTAGAGCCAATTGACAAATTTCATTGTTATATTTGAACTCAGAATGTGAAATTCATTAAGAAATGGATCCTTTTGTTTCCAAAACTGGCAAAAAATAAAAATTTGTTGAACAGTATTGGTTGTAACATGACAAAATGTGGAAACTTTCAAGGGGTATGAATACTTTTTCAAGGCATACACTCACTGGCCACTTTAAGTACACCGTGCTAGCTCCAAGAAAATATCCCCCACACCATTACACCACCAGCCTGAACCGCTAATACAAGGCAGGATGGATCCATGCTTTCATGTTAACGCCAAATTCTGACTCTACCATCTGAATGTCGCAGATGAACCAGTCTGCCCATTCTCCTCTGACATCAAAAAGGCATTTTTGTCCACACAACCTCCGCTCACTGGATATTTATCTTTTTTCAGACCATTCTCTATAAACCCTAGAGATGGTTGTGCATGAAAATCCCAGTAGATCAGCAGTTTTTTAAATACTCAGACCAGCCCATCTGGCACCAACAACCGTACCACGTTCAAAGTCTCTTAAATCCCCTTTCTTCCTCATTTTGATGCTCAATTTGAACTTTAGCAAGTTGTCATCACCACATCTAGATGCCTAAATGGGTTGCTACCATGTGATTGACCGATTAGCAATTTTTGTTACAATTGAAGCAATTGAACAGGTGTACCTAATAAAGTGGCCGGTGTATGTATGTATGTGTGTATATTTACATACCCTGGCAGAAATTGTGAAATTTTAGCATTGATATTGAAAATATGACTGATCATGCCAAAAACCGCTCTTTTATTGAAGGATGATGATCATATGAAGCCATTTATTATCAAATAGTTGTTTGGCTCCTTTTTAAATCATAATGATAACAGAAATCACCCAAATGGCCATGATCAAAAGTTTACATACCCTGGGATGTTTGGCCTTGGTACAGACACACAAGGTGACACACAGGGGTTAAAATGCTAATTAGAGGTTAATATCCCACATCTGTGGCTTTTTAAATTGCAATTAGTGTTAGTGTATAAATAGTCAATGAGTTTGTTAGCTCTTACGTGGAAGCACTGACTAGGCTAGATACTGAGCCATGGGGAAATAACTGTCAAAAGTCCTGTGTAACAAGGTAATGGAACTTTATAAAGATGGAAAAGGACATATAAAGATGTCCAAAGCCTTG